TTAGCACATGGCAAAAGTATAAGTTTGGGGGGAGAGACGAGGATTGCAACAAAGTGGTAAAAAGGCACAAAAGGGAAGAAAAGGAAAGGCAATGAAAAAGAAAGAAAAGCAAAAAGACAAAAAGAAAGTTCAATGTGAAAAAGAATAAAAAGGGATTCAAGAAAAGCAATGAAAAAGAAAGAAAGGTGTGGAAAGTTGAAAAAAGGAGAAAAAGTTTGAAATGCACAAGAAAGAGTGACAGTGTGTCTCTCTAACCCCTTAGAAAGAAATGAAATGACTAAAAGACTCAAGTGAATTGTGCAAAATGAATCAAAAGAAGTGCTTAAGGGAAGATGGAACCCACTTGAACAAAAACATACCTACCCTAAACCAAAAGCCTTTACAATGACTCCACAAAAGCCCTATATGATCTTGAGTTGAATGAAGCTTACAGTAGTGGATACTTACATAAGGGGCAAGCATATGGTACCTAGACCGGACTTGTTGACCTTTCCTTGAGAGAGATGAGTGAATACCATTAACTCGGTTTGTGTACCACTATTCTAAAGGCGAGTTGCTTAGGGAGATTGAGGATGTGTGAGTTTTGGGTTCCAACAATGACCAAAGTAATTGAAAGAGTCTTGATGTGCTTGAAGTCACTCTGATGCTGCTTGTGTGCACTTGTCCATGGTTTTTCAAAGGTTAATAGTTGTCAGGAACTCATGTGTGTCGAGGGCGAATTGTTAGTACCCAAGTTGATGCTAGTTGAGGTTACTATTAGGATAGCTGAAAATTCTGGATTTTACTCAAGGGGTGGGTCTTATTTTGTTTTGCTTGAGGACAAGCAAAAGCGTTAGCTTTGAGGAGTGATGAACTAAGGGATTTTGACGAACGTGTTTCATCTCCTCTTGCTTACGCTTTGATCATAAATCATACAAAAATAGTCAAAAAGGGCTCATAAGTTTTGGTGCTTGAATTGCAGGTTCGACCAACAAAGTGGACGGATGTCAAGATCGGCTCAAAAGGAAGTAAAATTCTCAGCAACGTACAAAAACAAGGCAAACTCAGGACAAACAGGCTTAGTGCGACCGCACTACACTTTCGTGCGGTCCGCACTAGGGACGATTCAGAGACTGGTAAATCAAGTGTCAAAGCAGGTGGCGGCCGCAGTGGAGATTGTTGCGGTCCGCACTGAAGGCTTCCGCGGCCGCACTACCATTAGTGGCGGCTCGGCGGGCAAGAGAAGATCAGAGAGATGTAAATTTGGCTAAGGTTCAGATGCCAGCGCGGTCCGCAGTCGTGATTGTGCGGACCGATTAGAACCTCTTACGGACCGCGGTCATTCTGCGCGGTTCCGCGGAGCCCGAGTAATCAGAGATGCCAAGATTTTAAGTCAAGAGCCCTAGTGGCGGCCTGCACTCCATTTTGTGCGGCCCGCACTGACCCGCGCAGGGGCCATTTTTGTCCAGTTTTTTCAGCTTAGTATTAATAGGCCAACTTTTTCATTTTTTTAGGTAACCAACTATTATCAAGATATTAAAGACAAGTAGTTTGCCGCTCAGTGAGACAGCCCATTTTTGTAGCCATTTGTGGCACTTTACGTAGTTTTTATAGCAATTGAATCATTATATTTACTTCAGTAATTTAATATTATGTCTTTCCTCTTCATCTATTTCTTTCGATTTTATCTTCAAGCCATAGATAGCTAAAATCCCATTAGCATGGGTTTGGTGGCTCAACCCTAGTGTGGGTAAATTGATGGGTGTTGTGAATTTTAAGTTAGATTGATTATGGGTGTTTGTTATTTGGGGTCAATTTTATGGGTTTTAATTTATGAATTAGTGGTTGCAAATACATGTTTGTGCTAAAGTTGACCTAGGCTCTTCTTTGAGAAAAGAGAGCCTAAAGTCTCCAAAATTGTTACTCAACAAGGAATTGGGATGGACTCAAGAGATTTGATAGTCCCATTAAAGGGTTAAACCTCGGAGAGTAATTACCCGACTTGACCTCTAGTTGCTTGGGCAAATAATGCAATACCCAATTGGTCTCGAGAGAGTCAATTGGGCAAAATCACTCTTTCTACAGAGAGGTGTAGACGTGGGTAGTAATCGAGCAATCCGGTTATAACATATTTCCCCAATCATGTATATCGTGCCTTGGAGTGCAATTACCGTATTAGCCACCTAGGTGAATAGTCACCACCTCTAGTGCCTTTTAACTATTAGATACAACTTGTAGTCAATTTATTCTAGCTTAATCTAGTGCATTTAAAATTAGTAGTGATAATAAGTAGAATTTATAAAGAAAAGACCAAAAATGAATAGAAACCAATTAAGAGCACACACGGGCAACCCTAGAGCTAAATAGATACTCGACTCCACATCTAGCTTCTGTGGATTCGAAAACCCGACCCCAAATTGGGTAAAAGCTATTGCGACTCCTGCTCTCGCTACTTTTTAGTGGTGCGGGAGTTGGCAGCGATCAGGAAGCACTTCATGCGCGTGTAAGCCATATTGAAATCTAGACTAGAGCCATCATTCCCTAATTGTATGAACATGCACTACCTTTACACTAGTGACTATATACTTGGAAATAAATGTTGATAAGAATAGGGGGTGGGCATCGGTCAGGTTCGGGTTTCGGTTTTGAATATTATCGGTTTTTGCCTATCGTTATCGGTTTTACAAAATTCAATAACTCCGATAACCAAACAATAAGATACTTGGTTTATCGGTAATCGTTTAATTCGGTTTATCGATCATTATCTGGTTCGGTTATCGATTTACCCGATAAGATAAAACAATAAAACAATTTCGCAGATATATAAAACTGTCGAGTTCCTCAATTATTCTGAAGCCAGAAGTTCAAAGAATAGATCATCGATTTTCGTTGTATTTGACAACTTTCTGATGCATAAATATAGGATATACAAAAGGTGGATATGGAATATGATTGTATTGGTTAATAAAATTGTGGTCTTGTCATCCTTAAAAGAACAGTTTAAACGAAGTTTACTGCTAGGATTTCTTAATATTCCAAAAAGAGAATACACTTGTTAAAATTATAATTGGATAATGCAACAAACCAAATTTATACATTTCATTGCTCAAGCCATTTCATTTTCTCGATAAAACAGAAATCTCCAAAAACGTTTTAAAGACCTAGACAAACGATTAGAACAAGATCTCAAACAATAGCAGCGCGCACACACACAGCCATAACCCCCCCCCCCCCCCCCGAAAAAAAAATCCAGAGCCAGAATGCTTTCAAACAAACTAAGAAAAAGATGAAGATGAAGCAACTAAAAACTTACACGCCGGCCTGAGTCTTGACAGGCTGACTGGTGAGGGCGTGATGCGACTGATGAGTGACGCCGGCCTGAGTCTTGACGGGATGACTGGTGACTGGTGAGGGCGTGAGCCGTGGTGAGGCGGAGAACTGGTGAGGTTGGGCCGTAGGGGTGCGGCGGAAAAATTGAGAAACTGAGAAAGAGAAACTGACTTACTGAGAATTGAGAAAGAATAGGAAAAACCAATTATGAAACCCTAGTATAGAATGTATATACTTAAGGGTAAACTAGTAAATTAGTTAATTCTTATTGGGTTATCGATTTTTACCCAATAATAAAATTGCAAACCGAGCCCGAACCGATAACCCAATAAAAAAAAATTTTAACCCATTACCGAACCGTTAACCCAATAACTCAATGCCGATAACCCAATAAATAATTAACAGTTCGGGTTATCGATTTTACCCGATATATGCCCACCCCTAGATAAGAAAGAGTAATTTCAATTCAGACCACCAGCATAGTTTCAAGATATAATATTCAGGGTTTTTACAAGGAGTTGGCCATGTTGCAAGTAGAGATAATGCGAGATGATAATGAAAATGATGCATGCCATAAAAAGGGCAAGAGCAATTAGAAACAACTATTTTAAGCAATCATCAAAGTGAGTATGCAGATGACACTAAAATATGGGATAAAAAATGAGAACTTTTAATCTAGTATGTTGAATTTTGTATTTGTTGCTGCTGATATTTGATTTACCAGAATAATAAGAAGGAGGAGTCTTTGTTTAAACTTAAATTTAATAGGATAAGTTAGTTGAGATAGTTTAGGTTTTTGAATTTGAATATTTATTCTCCTGATTTTCTGCAGATTCTGTTCTTAAATTGATTATTTAAAGCCTTGTTATGCTTAGTAAAATTATTGAGAGACTTTTTCAATCAATACTTCTAATCTTTTTGCTGCTCCATCTTTTAAAAAATCAACAGTGGTATCAGAGCTTCATTGGTCTTACGGGATCTGTGAGTTCTTCCAAAGAACCATTTTCAAATCATTTTAACCAATATCAATTTTTAAACTCATTTTCAAACATGGCAAGCATCAGTCTCTCATTGAATGCCCCACAAACTTTCACTGAAGAAAATTATCAGATTTGGTCAGTGAAAATAAAATCGTATCTTGAAACCTATGATTTATGGAATGTTGTAATAAAAGAAAGATCATTACAACCACTCCCTGCAAATCTTATCATTGCCCAAATTAAAACTCCTTTAGAAGAACCTTCAGACAAGACAAAGTTATTGAGATTGTTTTTTATGCACAAAACCAAAAAGAAAAAAAGATTGCAGATGGATATGCAAGTTCAAAAACACTTGAAAGAACGCAAGCACAAATTGCCAAAGCACAAATTGAGGAGGATCAACCTATTGCAGCAACAAAAGCAAGGGGGAGTGTTGGATTTTGCATTTGTTACTGCTGATATTTAATTTACCAGAATAATAAGTAGTTAAATCCAAGGAGGAGTCTTTGTTTAAATTTAAATTTAATAGGATAAATTAGTTGAGATAATTTATATTTTTGAATTTGAATATTTATTCTCCTAATTTTCTGCAGATTCTGTTCTTAAATTGGCTATTTAAAGCCTTGTTATGCTTAATAAAATTATTGAGAGACTTTTCCAATCAATACTTTTAATCTTTTTGCTGCCCCATCTTTTAAAAACCCAACATAGTAAACCAAATTCTTCTCCTAATTGGTTAATTCTCAATCAACGAAAAACTTTTTCTACAGCTGACGAGAGGAGCAGACAGTCACTCACTCAGAGTCTTCAACAAAGTAAAGGTGGGATGGTTCAACTGTCCAATGAACTGAATCTAAGACCCTACGACGAACATTGAAAAGTGATCTCATCGCCTACTTTAGCGCGTAATTGCTACATCATCTAGATCCCTCGCACACTGATTAAAGCAGCCGGATGAATGTCCTGTTCAAGAAACAAGGTGTCTGGCATTCTTATCATACTGGTTAACTACAGAGATAACCCCATCTAAGCAAACACTAGAAGCCAAATCTAAGACAAGCTATGTACTTACTAGCACCAACAAATCGATACTAAGCTCCAAAATGCAGTTGATTGCATGATCACATATTAAGCCAGAGCACATTTGTCCTCATTATGCATAGCTTGACCAACAAGGGCATCAGCATTGTCGGTGGACTAACCTGAAGCTCAGTATAAACTCTTGCTGCTATGTAGGTTCAGAAACTCCTGTGCTCCTCCAAACTACATAGGGACCTCTATTTTGGAATTCGCATGGTTGAAAACCAGTTAATGCCTTTCCCATGAGGGCCATGGCAGCAATGCTTGGGAACTGCTTCTTCCGAAAATCATCAACTTCCAACTTTGAGCCTCGAGGCTTACAAACTACCACTGGTTGAGGCCTCTTTTGTGCAGTAGCATCCCTATTATGAAGCCACCTTCGCATCCAAGACTGTGAAGTCAATAACTCTAAATTTTTCTTTATAACATTTATAGATGAAGAGACACTGTTGCTAGCTAAGGCTGGAGGTCTATCAAGAGCCATCGATTCTTCACCATGGAGTTTACCAGCTGTGAGTTCTGAGCCGCTTATAGTAACTTTAGTAATTTTGCTTAGAAATTTGTTTGCTTTCTCATGAGATGTATTCCCTGAAAGGTTAGCGCTCTTTGTTCCAACAGAAAATGACCCAGAAGCACTAATTTTGAGGCGCTTGACCCATCTGCCACCTGGTTCCTGTTCAAGCAGAACGACAGGGGAGAAATCGGCTTTCAATGAACTTGGCTGCTCATTATGACCAAGGAGTGATCTCAATTCCATACTTTGAGTTCTGGAAGAAGTTGGCTCCAAATTATCGATCGGAGCAGGAGGCTCCAAGTTCATGTCAGGTATAACATTTTTACATCCAATTTCTTTTCTGGGACAGCCAAGTGCAAGATGAGTAGGTGCATTTTGGTCCATTTCACTCTCCTGCAAGATATCATATGGTCAAAATCGAAACGGAATTATTATTGCTTGAGCTCTTAATCTACTCAATAGGTCAAACGTGAAACCAACAGTACCATTTCCAAGAGTACTGTTTTGTAGAAACATTTTGAATTACAGTAAGAAGATCACAGATAATATGCCAGTTTTTCTCACATTGTACAAGGAATAAGAGTGAGAATACCAGCTAGAACAACTCAGTTTCCTCAAAATGTTATATGGTTTAGCTTATCAGACAATAACTGCAGCCAACTTTTAAAACTCATTTCCCATATATACTTGGTATTTATCAGGTACATTGGACGAATCGGGAATTCCTATTGATAAACTGAAGATAACTTGATATCATAATATGACTATTTTTACATAAACCACCAACCTAAACAAGAAATTAGAATGTTCAAGGGACAGTGAGAATACCTGCTTTAGTGGGGAAGAAGTCATACCTGCAAAAGTCATAAGGCACATTAGTTAAACAAGTAAAAGTCAGTGTAGCAACAATATATACGAGACTAGAGCTTAGAAAGATCTTTCATTTTTTTTTCCCGCTTGGTAGGTTAGATTTTTAGAGACCATGACCATAACAAATTTTAAAGAAGATTTTTGCACCAGTTTTACGTTAGTAAAGTGCTTTAATCAAGACCTTTTAGACATAGTTCAGACCAGTACATACCACAAAGATGGTTCTTTTCCAAAACACATCCATTTTCATGCTATCAGTTTCAGCTGAACAATTCATTCTTCAACATTACTTCAGAAGGCTTACTGTCTTCAGTATTTTTCTTTTCCTTCACTAGCTGCAGAACTTCCCAGCAGATTGTATCTTCGGTTTTTCTTTTGGTTATTACCAAAAGGTAGAGATTGGCTGTCATGATCAATTAATGTTGTTTTATCACTCCATATCCTTGCTTTACCAATGTCTTTTCTCTCTTCACACTGATTAACATCAGTCTTTTTCACGATTAAACAACTCTGGGTTGTCTGAGAAATGCAGAGATAATATCCAGTCAATACGGTTACAGAGTCCAATGCAGTGCCTATTCTCATTGTCTCTACATAATGCATAGAATATGATAGTTTTTGTGGATGGTAATGCCAAGTTTCTCTAATACCAACAACTTAAGTCTTTTGATTTGGTTACCTGGGGAGGATTACATTCACTCGCAAACAATCCAATAACAGAATGACCCGGTATTCTGTGGAACTGTTCTCCACCAAATTTTGGGAGATGTTTGCTGCTTGTAGAGGGTACATTTTGCAAGAATGTACCGCTCTGCCTCATCTGACAAAAGCATGAGCTTGTCCAAATTCAGAGGAGTCTGAAATGTAGCTTCAAGCTGAGCATAACAATCCATGGATGAAGCTTCACTTGCAAAATGAGCTATTGGAAAAGGTGTGCAACTTCTCCTTGTGGAAAATGTAACCATACCAGAGCCAGAGATGGGGTCAAGTTGAGGCCTTAATGCTAGAATGCCACAAGTTTCCTGGCCTATTTCAAGAGATGAACTACTTTACACCATTTCTATGTGGATAGCTAGATAAAGATGGAAATTCGGAAAGGACACTCAAAGAATTAACTAGATAAGTACTGAGTTGAAGGCTACAGAACAGAACCAAAATCAACAATGAAGAGCACCAAATTAACAGATGTGACATATAACACATTGTAAGAAAGGATTCGAGTAGAAACACCATCATGATACAACCGATCCTAAAATATGTAGGGATCGATTATGAATCCTCTGTAACTATTCCACTCTATTCAAGGCCACTTGTATTGCAGCAACAAGGTAAATAAAGAGAAGTCACTCCTTAAAATTCCAAGCAATTGTTGAACACATATTCAATGAAAACATGCAGCCCAGATAAGAAAGAAAGAAACATGATGTTGATCCTCATATGGCAAATGGCAACAATGAGTTATTTACGGGCTAAGCGCAACGAGTAAAATATAACCTCATATTCAGAGATAGCATATGTATCAATAACCAATAGAAAATTCCAGGAAACCTACATAGCAAACAACTCCAATATGCACAATTAGTACCAATTACGGTTTTTCCCAAAGCCCTCACAACAATTACAACTTTGTTCCACACCACACTCAACAATATATATAGAAGGGAGAGAAAATTAAACTTCAAAATGAACTCACCTAACAACGCAGTAAGGTTGAAACTTGAAACTGAAGGAAACTTCAGAGCTCTCCACTGTTAGAAATGTTACACAGAAATTGAACCTTTTATTTTGCATAGGAGAGAGAGAATTTTTGGGTTCTAAGATTTTTTTTTGCTCTAAATTTTACTAAGAAGATTATTTGACAGGGTATATATAGCCATCGTTTTAGTAAAGGAGCAGAACAGAAATTAGTGAACAGAGGAGTTTGAAGCAAAGACCAAACAAATGATTGAGAGAGAGAGAGAGAGAGAGAGAGAGAGAGAGAGAGATTTCTGGTCCAGGCTTCGGAGGCTTACCAGCTGTAGTTTTCTTTGTATTTTTCTTCCTTTT